GAAACAACACTGTTACGGTCTTAGTGAGAAATCTTGGTAGTTGAGAACAGAAATATAAGGGAAATAGGTGAGAAAATATATTAGATGCTACATATATATTTTTGAAGGTCATTATTTTTTTCTGAATAGTTGCAAATAGTTATAGCAAAAAATATTTTTATTTCTGTATTTCCATCCTAGGCAGTCAGAAGACGGGATGATTCGTGGGAAAGATTGCAGATAGAATATGTTTGGGCAAGAAGATTCACTCATTAGTTATGAAGATAAAGATTCCAAGTAAGTTGTTGAAAACAAAAGTTTGGCACTCTTGAATGTCTCGAAGGAAGAGATAAATGTGAGAGTCATCAATATAGAAATGACATTGAATGTAGCAAGAACCTTGTAATTCAATTTTAGGGTTTTAATATAACATATTATGGAGTTAGAAAACCAAAAGGGAAGAACACACTAAGCGTTTTTCAAGCTGAGGGAACTAAAGAAAAAAAATCAAGCCTTAACTTGGGTTATTGAAGGATTCTCTGGGCAGATTATTGGATGAGGCAGAAAGCATCAAAAGAAGACGGAAGGAATACACAGAGTCATTGTACCAAAAGGAAATGGTTGATGTACAACCATTTCAAGACGTAGCATATGATCAAGAGCCAATGATCCTGAAAGAAGTCCCAAGTCTATTGAAGGCATAGGCAAAGAACAAGGGACGAAGAATTGATGGAATGCAACTTGAAATCTTTCAAGAAAGTGAAGCTGCACTGGAGGCACTCTCTTATCTCTGCCAAGAAATTTGGAAGACAACTATCTGGGTGACTGATTGGAAGAGATCCATATTTGTGCCCATTCCAAAGGGAGGTGACACAACAAAATGCAGAATCCTTAGACCATACTTTGGATATCCTATGTGAGTAAAGTTTTACTCAAGGTAATACAGAAATGGCTACAACCATACATTGACAGAGAACTTCGTCAGGTTCAAGCTGGATTCAGAAGGGGATGTGGAACGAGGGATATCATTGTTGACATCAGGTGGATCTTGGCTGAAAGCAGGGAATATCACAAAGATGTTTACCTGTGTTTTATTGAGTATGAAAAGGTCTTCAATTGTGTGGATCATAACAAGCTATGGACAACACTGTGATGTATCAATATTCCAGAACACTTAATTGTGCTCAAGAGGAACCTGTACATAGACCAAGAGGCAATTGTTTGAACAGAACATGGGAACACTGAGTAGTTTAAAATTAGGAAAGTTGTACGACGGGATTGTATTGTTTGACGATACTTATTCAACCTGTATGCTGAGTAAATCATATGAGAAGCTGGGTTCTATGAAGAAAAACATGGCATCAGGATTGAAGGAAGACGCATTAGCAACCTGCAATATGGAGCTTCTTGCTGAAAGTGAAGAGAACATAAAATACGTATTGATGAAGATCAAAGACCACAGCCTTCATTATGGATTGCATCTCAATGTAAAGAAAACAAAAATCCTCAGCACTGGACCAATGAACCACATTCTTATCAATGGAGAAAAGATTGAAGTTGTCAAAGACTTCATTCTTCTTGGATCAGCCATCAACACTCATGGAAGCAGTAGTTAAGAAATCAAACAACATATTGCATTAGGCAAATCTGCTTCACAAGACTTTAAATTGTTGAAGAGCAAAGATGTCAGCTTGAGGACTAAGGAGCACCTTCATAGTCTTGTGAAAGGACGATCATAGAAGCTTTGATGCTTTTGAGTTATGGTGTTGGAGGAGAGTCTTGAAAGTACCATGGGCTGTCAAAAGAACAAACAGATCTGTGTTGGAAGAAGTGCAGCCAGAGTGCTCCTTAGAGTCCAGGATGGCCAGACTTCGTCTTTCATACTTCAGACATATTATCAGGAGAGACCAATCACTGTAGAAGGATATCATGTATAAGGTGGATGGTCAGAGAAAAAGAAGAAGACCCCCAGCAAAATAGAATGGCAAAGTGGCAGTATCAAGGGGTGTGTTTCTTTCTGTTGTACATAGGGTCACTATGAATTGGTACCAACTCGATGGCACCTAACAACAACAACAACAATATAACATATGGAATAGAACTGGTTCTCTGAGCTTTGATGTCCTAAATGCCTGTGTGTCCAGAGGATTTTTGTTATTGTTGTTGTTAAGAGCGTTAGAATCAGTTCCAAATCTTAATTAATGAAAGAATAAATAAAAATTTCTTATTTGTCAATGTTCTTCCACAAAAACATATGCAAAGAGGAGATTCCCAAAATACAAGGTGAAAAATAAATTTCCCCTTTATTACGTCATCTCCAGTGGCACTTCTGTTCTCCCATACTCTTTGAATCTGAAGCTTTCCCTTCTGTGTTATAGCAATGCTATTCTAGAGCAATGAATCACAAAGTTTAATTTGTGGCAAGGCCAGTGATTGGTTTATACTCTATGTTACAAACCAGGAAACGCCTGCTTCACTTTCTATATAACTTACTCTTACACTTTGAAAGACCTTCCAAAGATCACAACCTTTAAATAAGAGTTTTCTGAGGAGCAGCTGGTTAGTTTGAACTGCCAACTCTGCAGCTCAAACTGACCTTGTGGTCCAGAGCTTTATGTACAGCACCACACCCGGACTCCATATTTACAGAAGGTTTGAACTACTGACCTTAGTGTCATTGTTATTGTTGTTGTTTAGGTCCATGGAGTCACTTCTGCCTTATAGTGAACCTGTATAGAGTTTTTGAGAGGTAACTGGTAAGTTTGAACTGCAAAACTTGTAGTTCAATTTGACCTTGTGGTCAAGTGCTTATCCTACAGCATCACACCAGGATGGTCCAGCATTTATTCTACAGTGCCATACTAGGACTGCAAGCTTCTCATAGGAACATTAATATTGTGGCACTGTAGGATAAAGCACTAGATGGCTGGTGGGCTTGAGCCACCTACCTTGCAGGTGTCATGGTGTGGTACTATGGGATAAAGCATTAGACCACAAGGTCAGTTTGAATCACAAGGTTGGTGGTTAAAACTCACCAGTCACTTCTTGGAATACCTATACAGGATCACCATGAGTCAGCAATTACTTGACGATACTTAACAACAACATATATATAAATACATATGTTGGGGGAGTGACGGTGATTGTGTGCCATCGAGTTGGTTCAGTCTCATATTTATAGTGTTTCTAAGGCTGTAAATCTTCATGAGAGCAGAAGCTCTTATATTTCATTCACCTCATCTTTCTCCTGCCGGAGTGATTGTTGTTAAGTGCCGTCGAATTGATTCCGACACCTAGCGACCCTGTATAGGGTTTCAAAGGAGCAGCTGGTGAGCTTGAACCACCAACCTTGTACTTCAAACAACTTTGCAGTCTGATGCATTAGCCCACAGTGTCACACCAGGACTTCACCAGAGTGATTAGTAGATTCAAAATGCTGACCTTGTGGTTAGCAGCCCAGTTCATAGTACATTACACTACCAGGGTTGTTTATAAATCTATAGATACAGATAGATGGATAGATGGATATATATAGAGAGTGTCCTGGTGTGGCACTGTGGGTTAATGTGTCAGACTACAAAATCATTTGAACTGCAAGGTCAGTGGTTCAAGCTTACCGACTGCTCCTTGGAAACCCTATACAGGATAGCTATGGGTCAGATCCAGCTCAACAGCACTTATCAACAACAATGACATGTATATATGTAGGCTTCAAATAGTTCATGGAAGTGTTCCATTGTATTTTAATTTCATTTTCTACCAACATCTTGAAGCCCCTTCATATATGTACATATATATGCATGTGTTTATATATACATGCATACATACAGATATACACATGCATACATGGTTACTATATATGGTTATAGTAGATATTTATGAGGGTATGTCATAAAGTATTGCTACTAGAGTTCCAGTTCATACATGCATGGGTTTATTCCAAACAAAATGTGCTTAGAAATATCTCTGTAATGAGTGTATGTCTGTAGGCAAGTTCTATTAGTAATGAAATTGTCTAGTCTTGTTAAGATGCCTTAAAAAAAAAAAAAAAAAGAAGAAGAAGTTCCAATCCAAACAGTGGCTTCTGAGAGAATCTGCTTGGGTCAGTTAAATTCAAGGCTGAGAAGAGAGTTTAGAATGCTATGGTGACTGTATTTGGGATTCCCAAGGTATAACCAAGACGGACTTTCTCAGAGGAAACAGAACAATCACAAGGACTTGTTATGAAAACTGAAAACTGCATTGGTGAAAGAAAGGCCAGGAGATTTGTGCAGAGGGATCTTTTTCCATCAGGACAATGCACCTGAACATGCTTTATGGGTAACAAGGGCTATTCTATGAAAATACCATTGGAAAATCTTCCTCCACCGACATTACAGCCTGGATCTTGCCCTTTCAGACTTCTTTTTATTTCCAAAACTCAGGAAACATTTAAAAAGAACAAGATTTGAATCCCTTGAGGATGTCAAAACTGCCATTTTGATGCGGTATAAATCAAAGAATGCAAAATTCTTCAGAAAAGATGAAAACACCACTTTCCAGGCCAGATGGAGGATATGTTTGAGAAACAATAGTTTTACATTTAGGTATTTTTGTTTAATAGAAGTTTCCATGATTTTGTAGCAATATATTTTTACTTTCTCTGATATATTTATATAAAGAATACCAAAATGCTTATTTCGGTAATTGCTCAATATCTATTTATCCAGGGAGGAAAGTCTTATAGGAATACCAATTACCATATGAGATTTGCTTGATAAAGTTAAATTTTTAACAAAGGGAATTATTGGTTATGGTCTCAGGTAATGTTGTTGTTGTTAAGTACTGTTGAGTCGGTGCCGATTCATAGTGACCCTGTCTGTGTAGGGCATGTGCTCACTCTATCAATGTCCCCAAACTTCCAGTAGAGAATTCTATTATTCACATCAGGATAAGACTATTTTCTCTTTTCTATCATTTATATTTCATTTACATTGTTACAGAGTTAGCAGTTCAAGTCTTCTGTCCTTTGCCATCTCAAGTCATAGCTGGTTGCACCATAACTTTCTTATGGCATTTTTAACATCGGCATTCCTCAGCGTGTAAATAAGGGGGTTGAGCAAGGGTGTCCCAATAGTGTAAAACACAGCCACCATCTTATCTAAGGGAAATGTGACAGGAGGACGCGTGTATGTGAATATGCATGGAACAAAAAACAAGATGACCACGATGATATGGGAGGTGCAGGTGGAGAGGGCTTTCTTTCTTCCTTCTGCACTCTTGTTCCTCAGAGAGTGTAAAATGAAAATATAGGAGATGATCAGGATTATGAAACTAACCATGCATATGGCTCCACTATTAAACACTATGAGTAGATTTATGATGTAAATGTCCATGCAGGCAAGTTTCAACAAAGGTTGCATATCACAGAAATAATGGTCAATAACATTGGGACCACAGAATGGTAACTGCAAAACCAACAAAACCTGTACTAATGAATGGATAGAAGATCCTGCCCAGGCCAGATTCACCAGTGTACCACAGACACGCTGGCTCATGATGACTGTGTATCGCAGGGGTTTGCAAATGGCCACATATCGATCAAAAGACATGAGTATGAGCACGAAGATCTCCATGCACCCAAAAAAATGGGCTGCAAAAATCTGAATCATGCATTCATTATAGGAGATGACTTTCTTCATAGATATAGCATTTATAATCAGCCTGGGAGCTGTGGTTGTTGCAAAGCAGACATCAGCAAAGGATAAGTAGAAAAGGAAGAAATACATGGGCCCCCCTAGCATTCTACTGTATTTAATGGTGAACACGATAAGTGAGTTCGCCAACAGAGTTGCAAGGTAGAGAAACAAGAAAACCACAAACACTATTTTCTCTTTCAAAACATCCTGTGTTAATCCAAATAGAATGAACTCTGTCACACTGCTGTTTAGCTCCATGGTTACAGATGATGCAAAAGGTATGCAGTTAATGAGTTATCTGCAAAGAAAAGAATGTAAATAATGACTAGGTAATAACAGTGCACTTGGAATATGAGCTACAACTTTATAATTCTAATTCTGTGGTGGTTCTGTGGAAGATTTCTCACTTTCTTTGTGGGAAATCCAGTTAATTCTCAATCAAAACACCATATTTGTACCTAACACCAATCTGTTGGTGGAGACTTGTGTGTTGCACTTGATGATGAATAGGTTTCAACAGAGTTTCCTGGTAGTTTTCTTCCAAAAAATAGTCAATGAAAATCTGATGGAACACATTTGTGTGATTCCATGATGTACAAGTGACATGGTGCAAGCACCATGAGTCAAGTAACTAACAACAACACGATCACTTGGGATTTTTTGTTATTTGTTTTTTTAACGTTGATATCCATTCTTTGGAGTCCTGGTATGGGGCTGTGTGCCAATGAGCTGGAATGCAAAGTCAGGTTGAACTGCAAGATCATTAGTTCAAGCTTACCAGCTGCTCCTTGGAAACTCTATGCAGGGTCACTGTGGGTTGGAAACGACTTGATGGCACTTAACAACTGACAGTAGCAGAAATTCAAATCAAATTCAGAAAAGGACATGGAATGGAGGATATCATCGCTGATTTTAGATGGATCTTGACTGTAAGCAGAGAATACCAGAAATATATTTACTTGTGCTTTAATGACTATGCAAAGGTTTTTGACGATGTGGATCATAAGAAACTATGGATAGCATTGCAAAGAATGGGTACTCCATAGCACTTCATTGTTCTTATGAGGAGTCTGTACATAGACCAAAGGGCAGTTGTTTCAGCAAAACAAGGGGATATGAGTAGTTTAAAATCAGAAAAGGTGTGCATTAAGGTAGTATTCTTTCAATATACTTATGCAATCTGTATGCTGAGCAAAAATTCTGAGAAGCTGGATTATATGAACAAGAACGTGGAATCAGGATTGGAGGAAGACTCATTAACTACCTTTGATTTGCACATGATATAACCTGGCTTTCTGGAAGCAAAGAGGACTTAAAATACTTAATGATGAATATCAAAGACCACACTATTCAGTCTGGATTGCATCTCATTGTAAATAAAACAAAAATCCTCACAACTGCACCAGTATAAAATATTATGATAAACAGAGAAAAGATTGAAGATTTCTAGGAATTTATTTTGCTTGTTTAATTCCACAGTCAACACCGATGGAAACAGCAGTCAAGAAATCTAACAACATATTGTTTTAGGCAAATACTCAGTAAAAGATATCTTTAAAATGTTAAAGATGCCAGATCTAGGACTAAGGTGGCTGGACCCAAGACATGGCATTTTCAATCACCTCATATCCATGTGAAAGTTGGACAATTAAAGCCCACAGAAGAATCCATGCATTTGAATTATGGTGCTGACTAAGAATATTGACAGTCCTATGGAGTTCCAGAAGGACTAGCAAATCTGTATTAGAAGTACAAGAAAGCTCCTTAAAAGTAAATGTGTCATCACCTTTGCCTCCATTTCTGGTGTCACTGCTTCTCTGGTTAGGGTCCCAGGTTTAGCTCATGCTCTTCTTCTTTGATGGTCCTAGAGTCCTCTGTTCATGAAAAGTAAGATAAACTACTTCTTCCTTTTTGTTACACAATTTATACCGTTAGAGTTTTGACAATCACAATTAGGTATGATAACAATTACTCATTACTGAATCAATGAATCCTATCACCATCTCCTTTCATTAGACCCATCTAGACAAGATGAAAAACTGTTCAGTGGGGATTTTACCTTCCTCTACACACTCTAAAACTAAGCTCCCTCTTGAAAACTTGTAAATCAGCAGAGGTGATGGCATGGAGAGATTGAGCAGCTGAGGACTTTAGATTTATGGACAGAGATGAGTTGTGTGGTGGCAGCAAGGAGGCTGGCTTCCAGAATGTGCCTTTCAGTTGTTTAAATGATTATATAACCCTGTGTGTTTTTGTTTAGTTTTGTACCTAAAGAAAGAGGGGAAGTCTTGATAAAAGAAACAATCTATGATGGTTTGGGGAGGAGGAGGAAATGATGCATGCACTAGAGGGTAGAAACTCATGCTATGGTTGATGGGGCAGGCAATGTACAACCTGAGGGAGATTTGCAGAGGAAAGATGTGGGTGGTGGGAGACACAGGGAGAAATTCAGTGGTTAAAGGGAACAGAGGTAAATACTGTTAACTGTTAGTACGTGGAAGAGATGGCAACCATCTAATGAAGCAAAGTATAGGATTTGTTTAATGTAAAACTGATGATCTGCTCTGTAAACCTTCACTCAATTCACAATTAAAAGTTTAAATAAAGAAAAAAAAAGTAAATATGTCAAGATTTCCTCTTTCGTATTTTGGATATGTTGTCAGGAAGTATCAGTCCCAGAAGAAAGACATCATGTTTGGTAACGCTGACGGTCAGTGATAAAGAGGAAGACCTCCACTGAGATTGATGGACACAGTGACAACAACAACGGAGTCAAACATAACAAGTGTGAGAACGGTCTAGGACTAAGCCGTTTCGTTTTATTGTGCATAGGATTGCTGAGTTGGAACCGACTTAAAGTCATCTAACAACAAGGAATCAAAATTGATTTGATGGCAATAGAGTTTCTTTCTATAATCTGAATAATATCTTTATTTAATATGATTATTGTATCAATATCTTTCAAAAGTTTTCTCTGAAAAAATTTGCTTTTCTTAAAACATTTTTTAAAATACATGTTTTATAATTTCACCACTTACATATCTTCCATATATATTTTGGAAGATACATATACTTTCATGGTGTGGCATTGTGGGTTAATGCCCTGGACTGCAAAATTGATTTGAGCTGAAAGCTGCAAGATTGGCGGTTCAACCTCACCACCTCACCATCTACTCCATGGAAACCCTATACAGGGTCATTATGGGTCCGAACTGACTCATTGGCACTCAACAACATAAAATTAGAATATTACTGAATGATTGCAATTCCATAGTTAATGATAATTTTTACTATTAAGGTATTCATTTTGGATTCTTAAAAGTCTCACCCTGTGTAAAGTTCATCTATAATGTATTTATATACTTTAGCAGTTGCATACTAACATTTAAAGAATTCACAACATACTTTTTAAACTTTTAAAAAATTGAGTTTGTTTAAAAATTTCCCACTCAGAATAAACATTTGAATAAATGTCTTTCTGTGTATATTCTTCTCTTTAGTTTTAGTAATTTCAGGTAGAAAATTTCTAAGGATTACTGAGATAACATTTATGATTATTTTATAATTATTGGTTAATAACTATTACCAAATAACCTTCCAATACCGTGACTATACAGTGAATGTATTTACAACATAAAATATTCATTTGCAGCAAACTACAGTATAAAAAGTAAAAACATTCTTCAAAAATTCATAATTTCCCAATCCTACTTTATAGAGATAACTTGTGGTTCCTTACAATATTCGTCCATGTTTTTCAGGGTGAGAAATGTGCATAGTTTGCTTAAATGCCCACTTTTCACGTTAAATTTGGATTGTTTTTTCCATTTTTTTCTAAAGTAAAAGGAATTTAAAACAGAATTTCAATGAAAATATGACTTGGAACATTTTATTTGCTTAATGAGTATAATTAAATCTAAGATACACATTTCTTTGATTATTGGCAATAATGTCATTTTTTTCATATTTTTACTTCGTAGATTTTTGTCTTTCCAAATTATATATATCTTTGTTAGTTAATGTTTTAATGTCTTCAGAGTTTGAGCTTTTTCTTTTTTCATATTTATAGTTCAATCTTTAATTTTGATAGTTATCTTTATTCTTACTTACATGCTATTATTTTCAATATTGACCTAGAACTCATTTTATAATGAGTATTAAGATACTTGGAGTCCTAGTCTGGTGCTGTGGGTTAATGCACTGAACTGCAAAGTCAGTTTGAGCCTCAAGGTCAGTGGTTCAAGTTCATCAGCTGCTCATTAAAACCCTATACAAGGTTGCTATGGGTCGGAACCAACTCAACAGCACTTAACAACAACAACAATTGGGATACTCTTTTCTTCTCTAATCAAGAATCCAGCAGTGAGCCAATAACACATTCAAGTAAGCTATTATATGTGCTCAGATCTATGGTTGATATTTTGGAACATGGAACTATGTCTTCAAGCTCTTTACAATCAAATTAAGGGAATAACAAATCTTGGATAAAAATAATTATATATTAATCATAAGACTATACATGGTAAATCCTGGTTTGGCGCTGTGGATTAATTCGCCAGACTGCAAAGCCATTTGAACTGCAAGGTCAGTGGTTCAAGTTCATAAGCTGCTCCTCGGAAACCCTATATACGGTCGCTATGGGTCAGCACCAACTCGATGGCACTTAACAACATCAACAATGTATTGTGGTTCCAAAAGTAGAGAAAACTGGACAGAATAATTTCAAGGTCATTGAAGGGTCAAAAATGAGAACTATTTCAATGTGAGAAGCTAAATTTTCCATCAGGTTCTCCGGAACTAAGATATTGAATAAATTTACACTGAATTTCCTTAAGTAAAACTAATATCTCAAATTATCTCTTAAAGCTACACAACCATAAATAAAACTTTTTCTTTGCAGTCCAGCTGCAACTAAGTGTAATAACACTAATCAGCAGCTCTAACTGGAATTTCCAATTTTCTTGACAAAACTAAAAGAGAAAAATAAATCGATAATTACTTAGTTTCAATACCCTAAGTCCTTAATAGGAGCTAAAGGCAAAATAATACAAATAACAAGTGCCATTTGCTTCAGACTGGAAGTAGTTAAGTTAGTGAGTGAGTTAGTGATGGCAAGAAAGGGGGAAGCGCACACTGCTTCCGGCAAACACAGAATGATAATCATGAAAACTATCCTCTCAATAAATCAAAACGTTGTAAAGGAAAGTTGATTGGCTGATAATGGGCAACATGAAGTCCAGGTGATATACTTCTGTTTT